TGTTGGCATTTTAAAGAATGCAACAGTGCCAACTAGCATACTCGAAGAAAAATTAAAACCAAGGAATGGAAGCCATAGAGAGGCAGACTGAATCACAACCAGCACTCTCTCCAATTCTTCTTTTGTCTACATAAGGATTTCTATTATCTATAAAGACAGGGGACATTGATAGATTTGGACACATTTTGGGGCTGGAGCTGTGCACTGTGAAGGTTGTTCCATAAAACAGGGGATGAATGATGTGTAGTTCTATGAATAAGGTGAATGGCAGAGAGAGAGGGGGGGGAAGAAGGGAGAGGAGGAGAAGGAGAAGGAGGAGGAGGAGGAGGAAGTGAGGAGAGAGAGGAGGAGGATGGGAGGGGAGAGGAGGCAAGAGGAGGGGTAGGGAAGAAGAGGAGAGGAAAGTAAAAGAGGTAAAGCGAGATGTAAAAGAATAGTGAGATACTGGGATATGATTGCTATGAATTGCATTTTTCCCCCAGAAGTTCCTGTGTTGGAGCCCTACACCCCAATGTGACAGTATTTGGAGATTGTGCCCCTAGAGAGGTAAGATTAAGTAAGGTCACAGGGTAGGACCCTAATTAAATAGGATTGTTGACTTGCAAGAAGGGGGGATGCGGCCCTTGGCACACGCAGAGGAAAGATCACGTGAGAACACAGCAAGAAGGCGGCTGCCTGTCAGAAAGAGAGCCTTTACCAGGAATCACATCAGCTGCACCTTGATCTTGAGATTCCAGACTCCAGAACTGTGAGAAATAAGATTCGGCTATTTAAACCACGCCACTGTGGTATTTTGTTATGGCATCCGGAACAGATTCAAGACATGGTGTGTGGCTCATTGTGATTTTTTTCTACCTTCCTGACCAGGAGGCAGAGACTTCCAGGTCCATTCCATGCAGGGTTAGGGCAGGGATGAGGGATGCTCACAATGAGAATTTAGGATGTTTCTCTGACTGCTGATGCGAAGTCACCAATCGAATCTGTGTGTCTGCCACGTGTTGAGGGATGGTCAGGATACTATGGATGTCTAGCGAATTCCCCAGGCCATCTAATCCTCCATTCAGACACTCTGGAGGCACAGACCACTGCACACATGTCTGACGGGTTGTCCTCCACCCCAGCCTCCTTTCTGCACTGGGTCAGAAAGGCTCCTCACATTCCTGTCCCTCAGATGGGACCATGTCCCATCCTAAGAATTCTCTGTCTCTCTTAGAAAATAACTCCATGTTCCAATTATCCAGGTTTGGTTCTTGATATGTTAATTGGAGCTTCAGAAATGTATACTATATATTGCGAGGAAGTGGGATTTTCAAAATATTATCTTGAAAATTCTATTTTAGTATTGAAAAGATGAATAGCAAATGTGCTTTCTTTCTCTTTGCATTTCTGCTTTCAGAGTCCCAATCTCTCGCTTCTTGCCAAGGCAGATGGGAGCCTTTGGTTGATGAGGGGGAAGGTCACGCACATGGAACACACAGCTAAAGGCGTATTAGCATAAACCCCATCCCTGCCATCATTGTAATGTCCTTGACAAAAGGGTCACATTTCACTTCCATCTGCGCTTCTTCATGATGTCTAGTACACAGTAGGGTACGCTTGGTGGGGGTGACCTGTAACTTGTCTCCATTAGTCAGGATTTTCTTAGTTTTAGCTTTGAAAGTCTCTGGTCCTGGGAATTTCTCAAACTAGGGAAACAGGGCAGTTGCCTACCCCTATGTACACAATCCATAGTTGTTACTAAGGAAGGCGGTGATTTGCTCGATATGAAATGATCATCATTAGTCTCTGGAGTAAACAATAATCATGTGTTTGAGTTTCCACATGCTTCATCTGTGACTTCTGAATTTCATAACAGTGGTTTCGCTCAGCCAACAACTAATTGACTCATAAGGTCTCACTGTAACTAAAACACGATTATCTCTCACAAAAGAAGAATGAACAGCCCAGATTCATCTGTTTGCTAATTGTTCTTTCTGGCCCTTTGGTTCTTGGCCATAAAAACTTCTGGACTTCAAAGGACTCGAGAAATGGTTGGCTGTGGCACAAAAACAAGAGGAAGACCTACTTGTCCAATCTATTGAAGTCTTGTATTGATGAGTTCACACTGTCAGCCATTGCACCTTGTAAGAAATACCAGCACAAAGGAGGAGAGGGATTCTCCTGAGTAGTTGGTAATAGATGGAAGTCTTCGCCATGGAACTGGATTCAAAATGGTGGAGGGCAGGGGGTGGGATTCAGGAGACATTATATTATATTCTCATCCTTGTTCCCCTGGCTGTCATGCCATAACTAAAGTCACTGGCTAAACATAAGTGAATAAACCTTAGTGCTAATACATAGGGATTTATCATAGTTAAATTGTAACTCCTTATCATGACATAAAGTCCTATCATGACATTGGCCCAAGATGTCACTTCTTGCCACCTGCCAAGCCCTCAGTCTTACTCTAGTGCCTTGCCCTGGGACATCCCCAGACCCTTTTCCAAGTCGTGGCTTTCACTCCTTCCTAGCTTTTGGCATAGACTCAACCAGTCTCCTGTCACCTGTTTCCTTTCTAAGTTATTACCTTCGACATCTCTAGAAACATGACATTGCTGCATCTTCTGTGACTATTAGGCCAGTTGTCTGGTGGCAAGTGTCCTCTGCATGGCTTATGCTTTGTACATCTTCTCCCCAGGGGCCTGGTTGGAGTGCGTGGAAGGCAGGATATGAGCAGTACTGGCCTGTGGATCCAGCCGAACACCACCTGAAATCCAATGTCCCCGACCCATAGCAACTCTCTCCCTACTTTCAAAAATTAAAACTTTAGTTTTGATAAAATATGTGTATTATAAAACTTGGCTTTAAAACCATTTCCAACTGTGCAATTCAGTAACATTAATTAAGTCTTTACGGAGTGGTTCAACTATTACCTTCCTAAAACCTTTTCATTAACTCAAACAGAAAATCAATCCTAGTCATCTTCCCTGCCCCCAAAGCCCCTGATAACCTCTAACTTACTTTCTTTCTCTGTAAATTCTACCGCAGCTCCATTATTGTTCCACCAGACAGGGAGTTATATACCTTCAATGATAACCATATGAATTAACAAGACCTGGAAATTTGGCTAGAAGTAAAGCCTTCTGATGAGTTCATATATAAGTGTCAAGAATCTGCTCTACTTGACCCAAACTATGTTAGATGATGCAGGAGATACAGAACTATAAGATTTGGTCTTTACCAAGGCCAGAACAAACACTGCCTCTTGTTTCTTTTTTTCCCTAATATTTATTTATTTTTTCCTAATATTTATTTTATTTTATGTGGTGCTGAGGATCGAACCCAGGGCCTCACGTGCTAGGCGAGCATTCTACCACTGAGCCATAACCCCAGGCCTCTTGTTTCCTTTTGACATGAAAATGTTAAGAATAATTTTTAATTTTTTGCAGTTTACAGTCTTAGAATTTTTTAACACTATTCTCAAGGTCGGTGGGTACTTGTCACTCTTTAATGGCCACACTAATTACCTGGACATTATGTTACAATGCATAGTCCAAGTAAGTAGATCTGGGATTGGGTCCTAGTTTGTGTGTACTGCTGGTCTATGGCCCACATTTTGAGTAGCAAGCCTTGAATAATTGTTGTCATTCAAGATGTAACTGACTGCCCTCCATGGGTCCATGCCATCAAGGTGCCTGTACTAGAGATACAGTGTATATATATGTTTACATATAATCTTATTATAGTCTATGTTTTATGAAATCTACCATAAGCTGCAGAAAGATTGAAAGGAAAAAAGGGTCAGATAAAATCTATCTGCTCATGTTTTTATCTTTCCTATTTCAAGTTTCTTCAAGGCAAAGACCTCTCTTTTTTTCTCTAGTTTTAATTTATAAAAACTAAATAAATTGGACTAAGCCAAATTCCCCCTTAACATTTGGCTTTGATTAGAAAGAGATAAACACAAAGAAAATACGCTGATATACTAATGGATTGCTCTAATGGATTGTCCTTTCAACTTTATCCAAGTTTATCCCTCCCAGGCAAAACTGAATTTAGTTCAGCATGTAGCGTGGAATGGGGGTTTCCTTAGCGTGTTGACTGGCGGACCTCACAACCGCTCTGGGGTTCAGTGCTCCAGGAAGGTGAGAGCAGTCACCCGGTGAGGCAGCAGCCTGGGTGGACGAGCAGAGGCCTGAGGTCATGTCAGGGCCAGGGGCACTCTGTGCTGCAGAGAACCTAACTCCATTTCCATTTCCCCTGTGACAAGGGACAGGAGTAACATACAGTCCAAGCCTTGGGAGGTTGTTTTAAGCTCAAATGTGACAAGGCACGTAGAAATGCTTCTCAAAGTTTGATGCTATTCATTTGTTATTGTTATTGGATTCTAAGATTTTTAATTCCCTCCCATGTATGTGAGTTAAAAAATCAGCGATTTCTGAAATCATCCTGTATATGTGGGTAAATCAGTATGACCCATAAACTCTTTCCTGCCAGCTTGAGTGTAGATCAACTTTCCTGCTGATAATTAGTGGTACTCTTAAACTTAAAGATGTTATTACAACTGTTCATTCCTTTTCATTCTTTTGAAAGCAATATGAAGATGCTGCTTCCTGTGACATCCTGTGACAACTCTTCATTCTCCTTGCTTGTTTTCCAGCACATCATGCTCCAGTTAGAAGGACACTTGGAAAAAGTGTAGGTTCTGGAGTCAGATCAGCTGCGGTTCTGGGCCTTCTCTGCTGCCCCCAGCGCTGTTCTCACTTCTTCTGGGCTCCTCCCTGCTATTGCGGGGGTTGGAAAACTGGAGACAAGCCTGCCAGCCTGGTTCCAGATATGGTTAAACCCTTCCAAGGAAAAAAATCCACTTGCACGAGACCAAAGAAAGAATGGAAGCAGAATCCCCCCGTTGGAAGTAATC